TAGATAGTGAAGAGAGAGATGAGAGATTAAGTGAGAGGAGTGAGTGTGAGAGAAAGGGTAGGATTTGGGGAGAAGGAAAGAGAGAGGAGAGTTAAGAGTAGAAGACATTGAGAAAATGGTGGAGGTGTTATTTTGGTTTTAAAAACTGTATCACTTTGCGCGACGAAACAATATATTGGTCGCGCAAAGTCTCGAAAATTTTTTTTTAAAAAAAATTCTCATTTTTGGTGCGCGCCCAAATTTTTAGGGTTTTGCGCGACGAAATTTTGGTCGCTCAAAGTTTTGCGCGACCACAATATTACTGCTTCCCATTTTTGGTACCCGCCCAAAATTTTTCGAGTATACTTTGCGCGATGAATGACTATATTGGTCCCGCAAAGTCGTAATTTTTTTTTTTTTAAAATTCCCATTTTTGGTACCCGCCAAATTTTTAGAGTATACTTTGCGTGACGAACAACTATATATTAGTCGCGCAAAGTCGTAAAAAAAATTTTAAAAAAATTCGCATTTTTGGTACCCGCCCAAATTTTTCGGGTATACTTTGCGCGACGAACGAATTTATATTGGTCCCGCAAAAATTTGTGCGACGAATTATATACTCGTCCCGCAAAACTTTGCGCGACGAATTATATATATGTCCCGCAAAGTCGTAATTTTTTTTTAAAAAAAATTTTGCATTTTTGGTACTCGCCAAATTTTTAGAGTATACTTTGCGCGACGAATTATTATATTGGTCGCGCAAAGTCGTAAAAAAATTTTTAAAAAAATTCGCATTTTTGGTACCCGCCCAAATTTTTAGAGTATACTTTGCACGACGAATTATTATATTGGTCGCGCAAAGTCTTAAAAAAAAATTTAAACCTACTAATAAATATATATACTATTCAATTTCTTAAGTGTTATACGTACAAAATAAACAAATTTAAAGCTACTCAACGATCCAACTGTCAAACTTGTTTGTTTATACTTCGAGATCATATACGCCAAAATTCGGAAGAAATACACATTAAGAGATCAAGTAATGGGACAAAACATTTCGACGGTTATAAAAGAAAAATCAAGATTTAACGGTTATTTCAACTCTGATTTTGATGATTTTTTACAGCTACACTCCTTGACCCTATATGAATACAATGACTCCATTCGATCATCAATTTAAAATAGTTACACTAGTGGATACCACAAAATCTTATGTTATATTTAATGAAAGTATAAATAAACTCTTAATTGTTAGTGAATATATTGTTTTGATGGCATACATATTCTATGAAACTAGTTTCAACGATCCAACCATCAAAGTTGTTTGTTTACACATCGAGATCATATACACCAAAAATCGGGAAATTTTTTTTTTTCAGAGATCAAGTAATGGGACAAAACATTTTGACGGTTATAAAAGAACAATCAAGATTTAACGGTTATTTCAACTCTGATTTTGATGATTTTTTACAGCTACACTCCTTGACCCTATATGAATACAATGACTACATTCGATCATCAATTTAAAATATTTACACTAGTGGATACCACAAAATCTTATGTTATATTTAATGAAAGTATAAATAAACTCTTAATTGTTAGTGAATATATTGTTTTGATGGCATATGTATTCTATGAAACTAGTTTCAACGATCCAACCGTCAAACTTGTTTGCTTATACTTCGAGATCGTATACCCTAAAAATCAGAAAAAATAAACATTCGGAGATCACGTAATGGGACAAACTTTTCAATGGTTATAAACAAAAATCACGATTTAACGGTTATTTTAACTCCAATTTTGATGATTTTTTACAGCTACACTCCTTGAACCTATATGAATACAATGACTCAATTTGATCTTCAATTTAAAATATTTTACACTAGTGGATACCACAAATCTTATGTTGTATTTAATGAAAGTATATATAAACTCTTAATTGTTAGTGAATATATTTTTTTGATGGCATACGCATTCTACGAAACTAGTTTCAAATATCCAACCGTCAAACTTGTTTGTTTATACTTCGAGATCATATACGCCAAAAATCGGAAAAAATAAACATTCAGAGATCAAG